TGGCCGATGTCGTGGTTTGAGGCGGCCGGAGCCAGTTTTGGGGATTTGCGGCCCATCGGTGGATCTGGTGTGCCCCAGGGTATGCCGGCTGTTTGTGGGTCTGTGTCCCAGTAGTCTTTGTCCCATGGGGCGATACGCGGCTGCCGCGGGAATCCCGCCCGGAAGGCCCGAGGCCCCTTGCGCCGGATTTTCGTACCCGACGGGCACAAAAAAGGCATCCACCGGTCCGGTATGCGGACCCCAGTATAAGGGTCACTATTTCGGCTCTGGGTGTGTGGCGGTGCGCCAGTTATAAGGGATTTTCCAGGCGATGAGCGAGGAGCTGGGTGAAATGGCGTCTGCTCCTGTACCCCGGTAGCTCCGCCCCACTGCATTTCATTTTTTTGACATTGAAATTTGCCAGATTGGTTATGTTGCGTTTGAGAGCTTATCATAGCCCAGGAATAAGAATTACCCCCATGATGGCATACCATTTGCAAAAGTAGACAACCCAAGGTATTGCAAGTGGGGTATGTCCAGTCTTTCTTAGTAGCCACTTAGTCACAAACACTGGCAAAATATTAGTTTTTTGCTTTTTTCACACAAAAACAAATATGAACGCTAACTTTGGCCAGTGTTTGTGACTAAGTGGCTACTAAAAAAGACTAAACATACCCCACTTTCAACCTTGGGTTGTCTACGTTTTCAAACGGTATGCCATTATGGGGGTAATTCTCATTCCTGGGCTACCACACCATCTCAAAGGTAACATTACTAATCTGGCAAATTTCAATTTGAAAATGGAACGTTCAATATTTGACCCTGTAACTTTCCAAAACACCATAAAACCTGTTAATGGGGGGTACTGTTGTACTCGTGAGACATCGCTGATTACAAATATGTGCATTTTTGTGCAGTAAAACCTAACAGTATTATGACATTAACAGCTAAAATGTCAGACGGAAATACAAATTTAAAAAAAAAAATCTTATTTTCTCACATTTTTTAAAATTTTTATTAATAATACATTACGTTCCATATATGAATAGTTAATGATAAATTAAAGCCCAGGGCGGGGCCGGGCCGCCGGGCCGGCTGGCAGCCATGAACCTTAGCTCCTGATCCGAGCACGGGAAAAACGCACTAAAAAGGTGTGTTGAACACCCCAAAGTGGACATCTCCGCAGTACCGGAGCAGAGCAAAACCCTAGCATCAGAAAGACACCCAATAACCACCAACAGCAAGATGGAAGGTGGGTGCTGATGTCTCCGGCCTACACACAATATGGAGCCTCAAGCGACAACTGAGCAGGGCGGTCAGCGCGAAGGGGCCCTGACTTAACACGGCCGGTGCCTGCCGGCGGTGCGGCCCCGCTCCCCCCCCCTCATGGTCGGCGGGGGTAATCCCGACCTCATGGCGGCGGCCCACATGGCGACGGGAGTCCCCGGGCTGGTGTTGTGCCGACCGCCTACACTGGCAAAGGCTGCAGGAGGAACAGCCTGTCAGAACACTGGTCCAAACAGACATGGGGACAGCCACAGCGGTGGATATATGCACATGGCTGTTTTAAACCCCTTTCATTAAACACCCGACGGCTCTGAGAAGGGACACAGTGGAAAATACTCACCTAACGTGGGGACCGCCTTGGACAGAGCGTGTAGCCTTCGGCGCTACCGACCTCCGGATGGATTCTCCGGCAACCAGCCCGCAAGAGGAGTAGGTGCCCGGGCCTCCGAGATCCCGGAGGGACTTGTCCCTGGCGCTGTGAGCCCTGTGGACCAGGTGGGGGCGGGCCTCCCGGCGGACCGGTGGCCGAGACTGGCGTGCACCACCCCCAAGAATGTGGCCGGCGCCAGGAGAGACATGGGGGCACACGCTCCACGGAGACTTGAGAGGTTTTGGGGAGGTGCAGGAGGCAGACGGTTCGCAGACTCTAGGTGTGGGGGTCATGCGGACTAGACCTGCTTCTGAGTGCCCACAGAGCCAAGGAGAGTCCAACTGGCGGGCTGAGACCTGCCTGGGGGAGAGAGCTGGAGACCCGTGGACTGAGGGACATATCGCTGCTGTGCCATAGTCAGCCCTCGACCGACTAATATAAAACCCTGTGATGCTATAATTCGTATATCAATATTCATTAATAACTGTAATATTTCGAGGCTCTATAGCCGGAGGTTCATACCCCCATCATATTACCCTATGTTACGGAACAGCATGTTTACAGTTTAACCGTTCATTGCATATTTTTCAGTTGTGTTTGTAATCTCGCACGTACAGTTTCTGTGGGTCCAATCTTAGGGACACCGATTACCTCCTACCTGAGGGCACGAATGAAAGACTTACAACATACTACCCTGTTAAACGTGGGGAGAGGAAGATACACAGCAACCGATTTAAACCCCTAATCCCCCATTATCTAATCATTGAATGTCATGTTAACATCTCAGAGTGAATTACTAACCCTGTCTCTGATTTTCTAATGATGAGCCCTTGTGTTATACCATAGTTTAACCCCTCCCTGCCAGCATATGGGGACTCACTAATGGGTTGCTGCGTAATGTTTAATCAAATACAGTTGAGAATAGGCATTATTTAACTGGACCCGTTATAATCCAGCGTAGACAATAGTGCAAATACCTCGGTTCAGATTTACCTAAACATTGTACGGCTAACATATGCTGACGGCAAAATAAGATGCAGAGAATGATCTCTTCTTGCTACTGTTGGACCGGATATGCAATATGTCATTTGCTTAACATTAGTTATGTTACTTGTGTTCACATAATCTAACCTTTCTGCCTTATTAGGCTTTGACTGCTCTCAGTCGATATAAAATGCACTCTGTGGCATATGCCTATATCGAAAGCTTATTATGATCCATTTATCTCCCCTGCGTGGGATGACTGCTTTTCTTGTGCACCAATAAACTTATTTCAAACATAAATTAAAGCCCTGTTTCTCCTGAACAAAATGATATATAATAAGTGTGGGTGCACTTAATGTGACAGCGGTGAATTACGGTTGAACAGACATATAGCGCAAATTCCAGTTTTTGTTTACGTTTTGTTTTGATCAGAAAGTGTACTATTGACTCCGTCCTGAAGGGGTTAAGTTCAATGTTTTATTAATCTGAATTTTATGTGATGGATCAGAACACAATAGTCTAAGTTGGTGAAATTAAATGAGAAAAATATGTACATAAAACTAATTTTTTGAAATAGAAAACAGAAAATTGGCATGTGTATATGTATTCACCCCCTTTGTTATGAAGCCCATAAAAAACTCTGGTGCAACCAATTACCTTCAGAAGTCACATAATTAGTGAAATGATGTCCACCTGTGTGCAATCTAAGTGTCACATGATCTGTCATTACATATACACACCTTTTTTGAAAGGCCCCAGAGGCTGCAACACCTAAGCAAGAGGCACCACTAACCAAACACTGCCATGAAGACCAAGGAACTCTCCAAACAAGTAAGGGACAATGTTGTTGAGAAGCACAAGTCAGGGTTAGGTTATAAAAAAAATATCCAAATCTTTGATGATCCCCAGGAGAACCATCAAATCCTTCATAACCAAATGGAAAGAACACGGCACAACAGCAAACCTGCCAAGAGACGACCGCCCACCAAAACTCACAGACCGGGCAAGGAGGGCATTAATCAGAGTGGCAGCTAAGAGACCTAAGGTAACCCTGGAGGGGCTGCAGAGTTCCACATCAGAGACTGTAGTATCTGTACATAGGACGACAATAAGCTGTACGCTCCATAGAGTTGGGCTTTATGGCAGAGTTGCCAGAAGAAAACCATTACTTTCAGCAAAAAACAAAATGGCACATTTTGAGTTTGTGAAAAGACATGTGGGAGACTCCCAAAATGTATGGAAGAAGGTGCTCTGGTCTGATGAGACTAAAATTTAACTTTTCGGCCATCAAAGAAAACGCTATGTCTGGCGCAAACCCAACACATCACATCACCCAAAGAACACCATGTTTTTCAGCAGCCGGGACTAGGAAACTGGTCAGAGTTGAGGGAAAGATGGATGGTGCTAAATACAGGAAAATTCTTGAGCAAAACCTGTACCACTCTGTGCGTGATTTGAGGCTAGGACAGAGGTTCACCTTCCAGCACGACAATGACCCCAAACATACTGCTAACGCAACACTTGAGTGGTTTAAGGGGAAACATGTAAATGTGTTGGAATGGCCTAGTCAAAGCCCAGACCTCAATCCAATAGAAAATCTGTGGTCAGATTTAAAGATTGCTGTTCACAAGCGCAAACCATCGAACTTGAAGGAGCTGGAGCAGTTTTGCAAGGAGCAATGGGCAAAAATCCTAGTGGTTAGATATGGCAAGCTCATAGAGACTTATCCAAAGCGACTTGGAGCTGTGATTGCAGCAAAAGGTGGCTCTACAAAGTATTGACTTTAGGGGGGTGAGTAGTTATGCACATTGACTTTTCCTGTTGTTTTGTCCTATTTGTTTGCTTAATAAAAAAAAAAAAAAAATCTTCAAAGTTGTGGGCATGTTCTGTAAATTAAATGATGCAAATCCTCAAACAATCCATGTTAATTCCAGGTTGTAAGGCTACAAAACACAAAAAAATGCCAAGGGGGTTGAATACTTTTGCAAGGCACTGTATATCATCTAGTTTGTACATTTGATGGCAATTTCACCTAGATGCAACTGACTTGGAAGATATTTCCAAATAGTCTGTTTTTACTCACACTGAATTTAAAATTGACAGATCTACAGATTACAGAAGTAGACCTTGTCATCCTAACATTTTATTTTTATACCTTCTGTTTTAGAACGGGGATTTCATGGTCTTTGTGTCCATTTCTAAATGTAAGAC